ACGACGTGTCACGACATATTGCGACTTTTTTCGCATTGCTGGAACTGGGGTGGGCGTGGCCTCCACACGATGCAACCGGCTCGCGGGCTAGCAGTTTGACACCCCTATAATCTACAGCAGGGGTACCAGGTACCAGGCCGCAGCATGCCACCAACCAGGCTGCACAAACAAGCAAAGCCCCATCCACGGGATGTAGGCAGCTCCGGTCTGCGGAAAAATCGCTCTCCACGGAACCAGTCCCTGGTGCCCAAAAGGTTGGGAACCTCTGATCTAGAGTGACTGACTGGCACAAAATTGCCCAGCTTGCTTTGTGCCTAAAACAAGATTAGAACTCATAGTGTCCTGGTTTCCAGCCTGATACCTTTCTTATTACACCAACAAGTCTCTCTCATTTCATATGTTTCACTAAAAATAAAACCTCCTCTGGAGACTACTAGTAGACAAAAGATATCTTATCCTATAAAATAAGTTAACAGTCAACCAGATGTTATTAACTCTTCTCCAGAACATATAATATAGTCAATATTATCAACTTGAAAAAAAATATTTCAGAAGTTGCCATCATTATCTCCCAAACTTCAATATTTCATTTGATCTTAAAGCAAGATATTAGATCATTTTACCATGGACAGAAACTCTTTCATCCTGTACTCATTTTTTGAGAAAGAAGTCTATTTCCAAACAAATCTCTGTACCGTTTCAGATAATTGTTCTTGCCATACATATGCAATCCCCAACAAGTTTTCAAAGTCTGCACTACACAAATAAACTACAAATTTTAATCTATACACTCCACCTCTTTTCCACTATAATACTATTCCATAATGGAAGCTCATTTCACAGATGAAAAACCAAAAATGATTCACGTAACAGTAATTTAAAAACTGACAGTACTATAGCAAACTGGATCATCTGAATTCCCTTAAGACAGGATGGAACCTCATAACCACAAGATTACACTTTTCATTCCCAATACATCAACACCTTTAACAGATGCACCCACACATTATATCATGTCCTAAATCATGTCCTAAAGCTGGGTTTGCCCAACAGGTCAAACCAAAATGAAATACACATTATAGGTTTAATATAAAACAGCCTTCCTCTCTTTTGCTCTCACTAAAGAAATCCAAATATCCAAAAGATATTTTTTCCCTTTATGAATAGCACAGAAATAAAAATAGTTATAAGGGAAAGTAATTCTTCTTTAAATATGTCCTGCAGTTTAATATATTTGTTTACATGGTATTAATTTGTGTGGATTTTCAGAGAAGCATTTTGCATTCCTTTTCCCCCATGTACTGTAACAAAAGTAGGATCTGGTCCATTCCTGGCTGAAATGACTTTATTCATCTCTTGGTTAATCATTTCTTTATACTCATGAAGAGTTTTAACAGTTATAGAACCCACACTTCTATGTTGTAATTTATTTTCAGGTAGTTACACTGGCCATGACTGTCTGTCTCCAGTTTTGCAACGTTTATCACTCATACATCTCTGTGGGGGAAGTGAGCCCTAGCCATTGCTACCTACTGTACTATGATAGCTACTCAGAACTAAAGTTACGCATTCAACCCTGAAAATGCCTCTGAAGACTATAAAAAAGTTATAAGCTTTCCAATATACAGTATTTGGATTCATGTCCAGAGTGGAGAAATAATGCAACTACCTATAAAAAGCCAAAGTCATGCATATACGATTATAAAGTCACTTTGTAAGAACATTTAAAGCTGAGAATGGCTTTGAGCTAAGGCATCTGAAAATTGCTTTAATACACGTCCAACCTCTTCCCATTTCCCAAAACTATATCCTAGAGATAAAACCCTATTCATTATTTCTTTAACTGCAGAAAAATAAAGTTCTGAATCCTGATTTTGATCAATACACCACTAAGCCATAATCTGATTAACCATGATTTATACTTAGTTGAATTAAGATGATATAAAATCACAAGCAAACTGCATCATAGTTTAGTGCAGTATATGAACCTAGCTGAAAGCTAGCTTGGTTGTAGTTGTTACAGGCACCAGGATGGAAATTGAGAGACTGTAAGTTCCAGTCCTGCCTTAGATAATAGCCAACTGAATGAATTTGGGCCCGCCACTCTCTCTCAGTCTGCAGATAGTGATAATGGCAACTGCTTTTAAAAATGTTACCAAGAAAACTGCATGGACATTTCCACATAGTGGAAAAGATTAACTCAACACACACAAAAATCCTAGCCAATGACTTTTGGAATTCTATTCTTTAAAAAGTCTATCTAACTTAGCCTAGATTTTTAAAAGATTTACTTCCACTTTTTTGACTGGGTACCAAGAATTAATTGAATATTTTTATCTAAATAGATGGTTTTTACAATTTTTTACTTTTATTTATTGATTTATTATTATTAGTTACTTTACAAGATTATGTAGCATTAAAAACAACTTTTCTATAAGTATCCTTGTGGCTTAAAATAAAATCCGTTATCCAAAATATGCATGTTTCACATTCAAATACATCTCAATTAACTAAATGCCATTCGATTACAGTAGCAGATTTCTCTATAACTGTCACACCATTTTACAAAATTGACATCTCTACCAATGGTAGTTGTATATGTACATGCACTATGGGTGGTTCCCCTCCTTACATACAATTTTTACATACTTCCCCTATTTATTACATTTGTTGTTTTCTAAGAAAATATCACCCATAATATATCTTCATTAATACTGCCAATATTTTTCAAGTCAACTATAAATTGTTTATAAAAAAACAAGTGTGCAAGCATAGTGGAAAAATGCTGATTAAAAAAAGGGAACCAAGCCTGAGTATACAGCAGGAGAAAAATTCAAGGAGCAACCAGTCCACAAACATGAGGCATCAGCTTTAGAAAATTAATAAAATTATTTATTCTTTTTTATATAAATATAAATCTGCCTTTCTATAGAATGTCAAGGCAGTTTACATAGTATTCCTCCTTCAATTTGTTTCCACAACCACAAACCTGTGAGATTCATTGGAATGAAACAGTGACTAGTCTACAATCTTGCAATAAGTTTCCATGGCTGAGGGAAAACCTGAATCTCAGTCTCTCCAGTCTTAGGCCAATGCCATAGCCATCGTATTTCTGTCTTCTGTCTATTTATCTCTGTAGTGATTAAACATACAGTTAATGTTGGGATTATTTGATCTAGATAGCCTGTATAAACCTGTTGACAAAATTAATCCACGCTCCTGATAAAGTAGTCTCAACCTTACCACAACTGATACCACGCTTAGTATTACTATTTCACATCTCAAGGGTGCAGGAAGTGGTTGCTGTGCAGAAGAAATGAACAATAATATAAAAACTGTTTAGGTGACAGTTAAAGTAAGTGGTTGGATAGGCATGAAGGAGGATCAGAGGTGAAAAAGAGACCATTAAAGTCAGAAAAGTACATGT